GATCACCAAAATTCTCTTTCTTATTCTTGATTATTATAATATGATAATGACCAGGAGTAGATAGATGAGACAAGTCAAATAATGGAAGAGCATAATGTAGTAATTTGATTATTGGTCCATATTCTTAGCATGGGATAGTAATTGTGAAGAGATTCAATCAGACGTTTTTGAAAATTCTTTATAAAATTCAATATGTTGTTGAAAGTAAAACTCAAGAGCTTAGATTAATAAGAGTATGGGTTAAGTATTTACCAAAAGTAATTGAACATCTTAATAATTATCTTACATACCTTATTAAAGCTTCAGGTTTATTGAAATGAGATTTAATACCCAAGCTAGCCATTTGATTAAAATGAGTAGAATCTAGATCATTTACAAATTACAAGTGTCCCATTGGAAAAAATGAAGAGAATAGGCTACAGAATGATGATATTATTCATTATTTATTAGTTAATGGAAAATGAAAAGGAGATATGGAAAATCAGAGAAGGACCACAAATCTGATATTTTCATCTTCTTTATATAAAAGTTGTAAAATCATAGTAACAAAAAATAAATTAGTTTTATATTATTTCAGAGATGATGATAATGAATATGTTTCAAAGTATAAATTTGTAAGAGAGAAATTCTTATATGTAAATATTGATATGCTTCAGTATTCATCTTAGAATATATTGAAAAAAAATATTTGTTCCAGGTCTATTGACTTCATTCGTATTATTAATAAAATGACTAAGGCTAAAGAGTATACAAAGAAGTGTGGCGAAAAATGTTTTGGTAAAATTAGCCAATAAATGATTTTGATATATATCTCTAGTTCTGGAAAAACGAACTCCATTGATGAGAAGTACCTTATAGAATTTAGAAGTAGAAATTTAAATGGTATCTACTTTGTTCACATTTTAAAGAAGAGCATTCTGCAAGATATATTTTTGAGAATTTATTGAGTAAAAAATTTTTGCCATGTTTAGCTCCATTTTTGAAAAGCTTACGTTTGAATGGTTATAATGAGAAATTGCAACTGGTATGGGAATACAATAGAGTTCAACACTATTATTGCAATAGTTTATATCACAATAATTTGGATGATCTAGAATTACAGAGGAAATGTGATCAAAAAAATTAGAATATATGTAAGCAAAAAGGTATTATATTGATCGTTATACCTTATGATTGTGATTTACTTCCCTCTATTAAATATGTATTAATTAAAAAAGGTTATTCACCAAATACAGATGCGAATAATAAGTCAGATGTATCATTATAGTAAGTATATATATATAACAATAAAGATTATTATTTTTCAGATATAATAATTAGTATTTTAGTATAATCAAAATGAAAGTAGAAAAACTTGAACTAATTGAGATCTTTGAACTCAATATAGACGAATACAAGTCTTCAGAAAAATATAACTCGAAAAACTCATGTCCTCAATGATCCTTTACAATCTTATTTTCAAAATGGACCAATACAGAAAAATCTATTGAAGTTGTTTACCTTTTGATCAGAAATAAACTATATAGAATGTTTAATGATAAAAAAAGAGGCACTAGATATATTAAGTATAATGATGTTGTGCTTATTGATCATTATCTCAAAAAGCCAAAATATATGTTCCTTAAATTGACATTTCAGATAATTACAAATAGTTCTGAATATACTTGCACACAAAATTATTTTAGGATCCTGAAATTATAATTTTGAAAAAAAAAAATCAAAAATAGTTTTTCATAGAAGACAAAATTATTTTATTTAAAATTCAAAATTTTTTGACTACCTAGATTTATTCTTTGATTAAATATATACATAACTGAATACTTTTTTTATTTTCATAAATAGAATAAATTCTGCATAAATCTCAAAAAGTCAAAATACCTCAAAAATTCAAATCAATTTTGAAAACATGTATAGTCTTAAACTATATTATGAAAATATTATATTTCGGACTATAAAGTCAAATAAAATTCCAAAGCCAAATTTATTCTAATTAGAAAGAAATACAGTGACTATATTTGAGAATATATATATTGAACCAAAGAAAATTCAAGAAAAGATTATACCTTATTTTATCAAGAGATACTATTTCAATATTTTTTCGATATATGTATCACAAAGATATTTTGACTGCTCAAGACTAATAAGAAAAAATTTAAAATATGTTGTACTCTTCAATGGAAGTTGTTCTTCAGAGGAACTAAGCAAAATACTCTATTTATATGTTAACGATTGGTGCAATATTTATAAAATTGTTAATAAGTATTTATGTGAACAAAAGTTTATTGTCTTCGATTTAAGTATAACCCCTAAGTATCCATACAAAATAAAACTTGGTTGGAATCAAATTCTATCGTTAAATAAATAAAACGTAATATCAATATACTCACTATTCATTAATGGAAAAAGATGTAAGTAATTTTTTTGCTTTTTGCAATTTTATTTTTTGTTACTCTATTTCATTGCACAATTTATTATTAGCATTAATCCACTCCTTAAGCTATTTAATAATTTCTTGCATAAAGGAGTCAAAAGTTTTTTCATTGTATTCAAGCAATTGTTGGGATAAACTATCTAACTCTTTCTTAACGTGATAATTAATTTTCTCTTCATGATCACAAATCGGATCAGTATTTTGAATTTGAGTTTCTTAATCAGGCATATCTATATCATATAAGGAATTTTTGTATAAATTGTTTTTTGCTTATTTTTAGATATAGATTCATTTAATATATATAGATTGTGATACTGTACAATATTTTGAAAAATAAGATAATTATTAAGAATATATTATTAATCATAATGCTTAAAAAATTATCTTTGAATGATGCAATAAAGATAGCAAAATCTTGTGAAGGAAAATACCTTTCCATAGAGTATATTAATAATATAACTCCAATACTTTGGGAATACAATAAATTTCATCAATAGACTACTCGATTCTATAATATTAAAGACAAATATTCATGATGCCCTCATTGTGTAAGTAAAAAACTTAATATTTCAGTAACTCGGGAATTAGCACTTGCTAAAAATGGAAGATGTATTTTTGAAAATTATATTAACAATAAATCACCTCTTACATGGGAATACAAAAATAATTATCAATTTCACCTATCTCTTGCAGAGGTCAAAAATAGTAAATGTTGTATTGTGAATGCAAAAAACTTAGTCTTGAATTTGCTCAGAATCTCGTAAATAAAAAAGGTGGCAAATGTATTTCTAGTTCTCATTATAATAGATATTTTCTACTTTCTTGGAACTGTTCTAAAGACCATTCATGACTTGCTCAAATTCAAAGAAGAACTTAGTGTTCCTACTACAAAAATAAACGAGAACAATTATACCGTAAAATTGTAACAAAATATCTTGAGTTACTATCTAAAATATGCCAACTAGACTTTCTTAAAACTCTCAAATATCCAACTGGATTACATCTTGATATTTATTATCCACAGTATGGTTTTACAATTGAAGTACAAAGGTAACAATATGAAAAATATATTGAATTCTTTCATAGAGAAGATCCCAATAATTTTATCAAACAGCAAAAGCAGGCACTGGTCGAAAATTGATAAAATATACACATATCAGGTATCCGATATGTGCATGGTGTGTCCCTAATATCGGACATATATCAGATACCCAATAGGTGTAAAAAATATTTTATATCTATATCGGGTACCCGATATATGTCTGATATTAGGGACACACCATGCACATATCGGGTATTCGATATGTGTATGTTTTATTAATTTTCGATCAGTGAGGATCAACTTATGAAAGAATTGTGCAAAGAAAACTGAATCGTTTTAAGGTATGTTTGGTACTATAAAGATCCAAATATAATTATTCCTGAACATCTTAGAGAATTGGATCTCATTGAATAGATTATAACTTTAAATACTTTATTATTATTACACATGCGCAAAAATTCAAGCAATAAAAAATATTGAATGAATTATTTTTTATAAGGCTATGTTGTTAAATATTATTTTATTCAGACAATACACGCACACGTCATATTTTATTAATTTTTCATTAATATGTATACATGTTAATTTTCTAAAGATGCAAATACAACCTACTTTGATGCCATATATCACAGTCGCGTAATAGGTTTTTACAACAATTGATCACACTAACTTGATAATTTTTCTTTACTATAGTCAGTGTTATCATTTGTCATCACATTTTGTATTAATGTAAATTATTATCTGTCTCTTCCAAATTTATCGCTAGTCAAATTTTCACTTTTTTTAATAACTTCATTCTATTACTTCGGCACAAGAAATTAACAGATTTTTAATAATGATTTCAGCACAATTTCTTTTCTACTAAGTTCAACTAAATCAAAATCACTTCTTAAACTATCCTTAGCTGGCCATCTTCAAATTTCAATTGACTGTACTTTCAGTAGACCTTCTTTAAACTTCTTCCAATATATCACAGGAATCTCAGTTTTATAAAACGTGATATACATAGAAATGACACAAATGGCGAATATAGTCTGTTCTTTATATTTATAATCAATTAAACGCATATCTTCATACACACAGGTGATAATTTCTGCAGTAATCTGTATTTTTCCAAACCCTGTGTTTGGTCTGACATTTTTTAGATATTTATCCTACTTAGAAAAAATTATTGAATAAATAAACAAAAAGAGTTTATTAAAAATAATAACATACTGATTTCTACTTCAATAATAATATAGTTTTACTTCCTAACTATGAATTTGAAGATGGCTAACACGACAAGTTCATTATTTATGTATAATTTGCATTGTGGATGATTTCTGAATTTTAAGAATACAAACTTTAGAATGATTGAGTGCACTACAATAAAAAACTTCTGATAATTACACGCCTGATCTTTAAAGGCCACTCATTCAGCTCAGCAATACGAAGCAGATCGCCAACAAGGGTATTAGTAAAAGTTTCATCTGTACCTACCACCTGAAGACTATTAAATACGGCATCATACAATTTGTCAAAAAATATTCAAACTGTAGGATCCGTAATACATATAAATCTGTCGACTTTAAAATCTGAATCTTTAAGTATTTCATGACTAATATGAGAAATAGCATACTGATTCGAAAAGTTAGTGACTGGGTGATATTTAAATTATAAGTATTATTCGTTAAGAGGATTGATTGTACAATGTAGTTCATACCTGATAAATTAAGTATTACATCGTTCTCATCTGAGGTAGACATGTAGCTCACCCTCAGTGCTTCCATATCTTTTTTCAGGAACTTGGATGTCTGAGGAGTAGAAAAAAGCTCATTTATCAGTTCAGCTTTTTTGTTTCTTTTTTATAAGGTTAGAGAAAAGACTATTGGCCAGAGAGTATGTAAAGTAGAATGAGAAAATCTCGCAACAAGACCGAGCAAAGACATTTTATGATCAATATCAAAAAATGAAAAAAATTATCAATTACACAGATGCAGATCACGAAACTTACATAGCAATACTTATTAAAATACAGATAATTATTTCATAATCGTACGATCAATTAATTAAATTCATCACCTGTTCTAAAAATATTCTTTGTGATCTGACACTTCAATTTTTTCTGATATCTATTAACTTCATGTCTTAAAAATGACTCGACTATAGGATTTATAGTACTAGCTTCCTCTTCAGTCATTGGATTTTTTTTTCTCAAAAGAAGACATTTCCAAGTTTCATTAACTAAGGATGGTGGTAATTTATTGATCAAACCTAAATATTTTTTATTAAAAATTGTTATCGGCTTTCCTTTAGAAAAGATAACAAAATAAAGTCTAAAGTACCAGTCCTCAGATGATTCTATTTTAAATAAATAGATAAATTATATCGAATAAGTTCATCAGGAAATTTAATTAGGCGTCGATTTACGGAAATATCACATGACCTCCGGAAATTTCCGCCTGAAAAATTTGAT